TGTTCCTTAATATGAAGGTTTGCACAAAAACATGGCAGTGGTTGAATGAATAATTCTAATATTTAGAAATACCAGTTCCGTGGGGAAGAGTCCTTCTTGCTGACAATCTGTCAAAATTTCGGAAATTTGTCGCCTTTTTTCTGGAACCCCAGTCGCATTGCCTTGTTCAGAAGTGGCCGCCACTTAACGTTATCCTGAGCCAGATCAATCCATTCCATAACCTCTCATCCTGTTTCTTTAACAAATATTTTAATATTAACATACTGTCTTCCAAGTAGCCTCTTCAGCTCAGGTTTTCCTCCGAAACGTCGTCAGTGCAGTGTGCATTTATACCGCCCCGTCGCCGATGAACAGAATACATATTGATATTGAATCGCCTTTAAATAAGCTTATGACAGCCGTTGTTCGCTAAGTGCCTGGGATATTACCTTACTGTCTGCATCCTCATGTGCTAATGATGTTTTAACATCGGCAGATTCTTTAATTCTTCATTGATGAGGAATTGACGGCCAAGATAACTGATATTTATTTAGCGAGTGAGGAAAAAATGCCTGTTCAGTCAGGAAGGGTCGAGCAATGTCTCAGGTACCTAAAAGACAAACGAAGGCAGCTCCTATCTTCGGCCAGTCTAATCCGTGTTGCTTGGCTCCAGCTATTAAACCCCAGGGGTTCCACGCGTCACTGCCTGCCCGATCGACTTGTGTTAAGTTTTTCCCTTAACACTTACAATAAGTCATTTCTGAACAATTTACGTAAGCAAAGACTTACAAGGGCTCTCTTCCTACAGGACCCCCTCCTTACGCGGTGTTACATAAAAGTCAGGTAACACAGCAAGCGTGATATAGTGGGAGCAGGGGTAAACAAAGCTGGACAAATGTGGAGAGACGGAGCATGAACTGGCGTTCCATTGTTTGGCCGTCTCTTCAGTTGGAAAGTGGGAGGGGGTGAATTGTGGTCGGGGAAAGTGGGGTTAGATTGATTACAATCCCATTCAGAAAACATGATGGGAGAAAAAAACTATAAAGTCTTTCTTTGCGGGGTTTTGATGCCGTTCAGTCTTAGAATTTGGTTACGATTGTTTCGAATGAACCAGCTGCCGCCGTCTTCAGGGCGAAGATTAAAGTTTTTAAATTCCAGAAGACCACAGCGTTAACTTCCTTCGCCTCTCATTCCTCATACATCCTTAATTGCTTGGACGACCAGATTTCTGTTCCTGGCAGAGGGAAGGATATTTTTCATTCCAGTGGATTTTCAGACAGAGTTTTGTGCCCACCTGATCTCCATTGTTACTGGTACAGGGGTTAAATCGGCCATGGACTGACGGTGAACACTCACCATTGTCAAGATTAATAATGCGTGGAGCATTTTGTGTCCAATTACCGTTACTTTTGAGTGACACGGTGATTAATCCTTTAAAGCCGACGCTTATATAATATAAAAAACCCAGTTCCTACCTCAAATAAAGCACGATATTGTTTAATTAAATAATCGGTGCTTAATCTGGAAATTATATGGAACCAATAAATACCCTCTCTAAGCCAAATGCGGACTTACTGAATATAAAAGCAGATGGTTTAAAAAGTTACCATTGGTTTTAAAGGGTTTATTAAGTACTAGGATAGATTTACATTTGCCTTATAGAAATCAACGTTATAATTTTTGTCATTGAGTTTTTCGACTTCCGGGAATTGTTGGTGAAACGTTCCGAGTAACTCTCACGACTGCCGCGTTCATTTTGTCTGTTCCCATGAGTAGGTTAACCTGCACTGCCCAGATTTCGAGTTTCTACGTCCACTTTATTATTATTATGCCAAATGATAGGGCGCATTGGATCTACGATCTGCCTCACACCAAGCCCCGTAGGACAGAATTACTGGGGGTATCATTCATTCCAGAGACCATCTGTTGTTCGTTGAATGCAGCGCCCACCTGGACGGTATCAATGCAGCTAGGGACTCCGCGTTAACATATTTTGTAGTCGGAGTAGTTTGTCCGCTTAAATTCACTGTGCTGGAAGACACGTCCTTGCAGAGTTGGACTGAGGCCGACCGGAGTGTGCAGTCAGCATGAGAGCGCTTCACGTGCAGAGGTAAGACCTCTCCCAGTGGCTGAGTCCCCCGGTGATATCACCATTGTTTTCGAACAACTGTTTCGCTTATGGCCGCGGTATCAGATGTGAAACTCCTGTCCGTCCCAGGCAGTCAAAATGAGCTAGGCGTCTCCGTAACTCTGTCTCTGTTCCGTGAAAATTATTCCGTGCGCTTTGAAAGATAATCCGTCTGTTGTTTCTTGGTCGTAACAATTCAGCCCATTCGTTTCTTTACCGAATGTTGTGAATCCTGATACCACGCCATTTTCCTATTCGCGAGTTCGGCTGTTAAAATCGTTTGCCTGTTTCTATGTTCGACGGCTTTGTGAACGTTCCTAAATGAACAAAGTGAAATAATTGTAGTAGTTTACGACGAAAATCGGCACTGGATGGAGATCAGTGGTCGGTCGGCTTCACGTTTCGGCAGCTCTGCATAGAACGCCGAATAGGATTTCATCTGGATATGGGCTATTATATGCATCCGTATGTAAGTGTGTGTGCATAATATTTATATCTGTGTTATAATCAAGAAACTATCATACGGCTTTGCAGGTAAATACAAATTAATAATTATGTTTTGAAGAAGCAAGGCGTTTCTCTGGGCCCTACTCTAAGTCATGATATTGTGGTTAATGTAAATACGTAACAAATAGGGAATTTATGAGACCTCAAGTTACATGTTGCCAAACCACAATCAGTGTGGCATTTGATTGAAAATTGATAATATTACTCGTTATTTAATCTTTGTTTCCGACAGCGTCCCTCCGTACCACACCGCGCATTCCAGTTAATTTGCAAGAATGATAATTAGCAGGACAATCCAAGGAAACGTCTCCCATCCCATACTTGCCCCAGAATTTGCAAACGACGGGCCTTGTGATCGAACCCGAGTCTCCTGGCTGAGGTGAAGTGAGTCCGTGACGTAGGCAGAGTTGGTGAGTGCTTTCAGTTGCATTCTAGGAGATCCCTTGGAATCAAACTCAGGTCTCTGAGAATCTGGACTAGGCGCGGAACACAAAGATTTTTTTTTCTGGTAAGATTAAAAAGTGATCGCTTAGTGACGGACTTTCGTACAGCTGTCCTCATAAAACTAAGAACGGTAGAATCAATAAGTATGTGACAATTGCAGCAGGAGACATTCTGCCATCTTGTTGGGGGGGGGGGGGAGATTTTCTGTGTGGCGCAGAGAAATGTTCTTCGTCTTCCTCCAAAAATAAATGCACTACATAAAAATTCCATATGTTTCTGTTGTGTTCGCATACAACAGCTGAAGAAATGCACGTCGCAGATAGTAGAGAACGCTGTTCGCTCTGCGTTTTTCCCTGGGAACAGGTTTTGGCAGCGGAAATCTGACGACGAGTACGGACGAGACATATCTTCTCTCCTGTTGGGCGACTTGCCCGCAGTACAACACATTGCTGACGCCGGGTTTTGGCTGACAGAGCTTTAATTCAGGAGAAATTACGGCCGCCATTTCGTTAGACAGGCTTGCTAGCGACTATCCAATTCCGTCTCTTGCCTTATATCTGTTCCTGGCACCTCGTGCCTCAGCGCCCTCCTTTTGGCGCAGTCAGACCACAACTTCTGTCCCTAAATTCCTGAAACACGGCTCGCAACCTGACTTCAGTAATGATTCATGAATATAAATCGCTATTTTTGTGGAATGTTAAAATTAAAATAACGTAGAGAAAGAAAATTCAAAATCGACCCCGCAGATAATGATTGATCGTTTTGTATGACAGACGCCCGGTCCATGGTCTCGGCTATATAGTATTTGCACCGTGTTAATGACATCGTATTAATTAACAAAGCCGGGAAGTGTACTCTTTTGGAGTGTAGTCACTTTGCACAGGCGTTCTTTATCTCACAACCCAAATGTAGTTATTGCACAAAAATGGTCCCAGTTCGTTTTTGTCTTGGGTTATCCTAGCTCTAATGCGACGCATCTTAGGCCAATCTTGCACTGTTGCCATCCGATGCCATTTCCTCGTAATGGTGGGTTTTTGCGAAAAACGCGTTAGGCGGACAGACAGACAGACAGACAGACATGGATGGGCCCATATTTTGCCTTCGCTCACCACAGAGAGTGAAGAGCTCCTAAAATGAACTTCAGTGGACTGGGGTGTTCTGTTTCACAATAAATCCTGAATGTTTGACAATTCAGTCGGTATCCTGAATTTCTACGAGCAAATTTGATATTATTTACACAGCAGAATATTCATCTGACCTCAGACAGAGATGGTTAGTATATTACGTGAAGTGCGAATCGATTTAACTGGGTTTTCGATGGCTTATTTCGACGGGCTTTTGTTCTGGCTATGATGAACGTTTGGATTGTTTCATACGTCGTGGCGAGTAAGAATTTCTCGAGATTCTTCTGGAATCCCTCAGTAGCACTGGGACAAGCGACTTCACCCATTGCTGTTAAAGGTCTGGGTTATTAGCGCGGAACAGGTAGCAATTAATTTTGTGTTCAGGCCCCGTTCTGTAGGAACACGACAGCTTTAACGGAGTAATGATGTTGGAACGAACAAAATGCATGTATTTTGTGGCAAGATATTACGATCCTAATTCCTCATCTAACCATGAAATTACTAGCATTCTTCCATGTCGTCACGACTTGGTGGTGGAATTCTACTCAGAATTCGTTTTTGATAGATTGCGTCTTTGCCCCCTTTCAACCCGTTAGTGGGTGAACATTCTTTGCATCAGCCGTACCTGAAAAGTTACCCTTATCCTCGTTAGGACTGGGATCCTATAGAAAGAAAATGCTTACACTAAAGACGCGTTATTGAAATTGGAAAGTGGATTGTCATGTGCTCTAGTCGAGGATTCAAAAAGTTTACGTAGGCATTTAAATGAAGAATTCTGAACAATTTCGGTGCTTCTAGAGTGATCGAGAGATTCTGTGAAGCAAATAGACATCCATTGTCCGGACAGGAAGATTTTTCGAAACCAATTGTGACAAGACCGCGTACAAATCTTCGTTACATTAAATTAGTGTTAACAGATTAGCGGACTTCGTGCATCGTTTAGTATTCCAAAGGAAGGATTTGACGTTTTAAAGGCGCTGAGTCCGAAGATGGCTGTCTTCTGGGTCGTAGCACCGTGTAATCTGGTAGAAGTTTACCGACGTTTCAGAGGTCCTTGCTGCCTCCATCATCAGGGCGATGACTCGTCTTTTGTTTCATTGTTTGGCTCGGTTGTGTCTGTGCACGTGTTCAAAGTCCGTCTCACTCTGAGTTGCATTTTCATGTGCAACCTGCGGCCCGCTGTCTCTTTTCAACCGGTTCGCGTGGGGCTTTAGAATTTCTTAACATTATCCTAGCCAACTACAGTAACAAAAAAGGTGTATTCGTGGCCTTCGGGCTACGTTACTAACGTATTCAAAGCCGAGAATGTACGTCAGGACTTTAACCCTCGGTGGGGGGGGGGGGGGGGGTTTTTTTATTGATGAAATTATTGGGATTAGAACGTCGTCGCAAAACTTGTTCTTTGCTTATTAACTTCATTAATATATATTCTTTACTTCTTTGGGCCATCAGATAAGTAGCTCATTACAACTTGTCCAATATTGCCACCTTCACTCTGCCATGTTTTCAGAAATGTTCGATGTGGATAAACCCCGAAAGCCGAAGTTACGAACTGTTTCTCCACAAATAGCGACTTGGCGCGTATTATTCGAACGCGTCACGTGATTGTCATTCGCGTGAACATTTCGAAAGCCTTTCCCCGTTTCAGCCCCCTTCAGACCTGCTACTGGTTTATGACAGTATCGAGTTCTTCATTTCAGCCTCGGCGCCAACGCTCTGCAGTGGCGGAGTGTGACGCAAAGGCGTAGGCCGTCATTAAACTCGCACGTCACGAATTTCGGGCACGGTTCAATCATACGTAAGGCGTCTGTAAGAAACGTGCTTCTTCTGAAGATCGTCTTACACCAAGGGCGGGTTCACAGTTTGTCCGCTGCGCTGTCGTTTGAAGTCATCCATGTAACATTAAGATGAATTTTGAGATAGTGGCTTATGGCTTGGGACTTTGCCTGATGGCGGACTTCCGTTCCATGGCTCTCAGACTCCAGAGTGTCGGCTCTTTTAACAGCCTGGCCTTTAGACTTTAGATTCTCATGAAATATTTAAGTGGCGGCAGATAAACCCATGCCTTTTAAGTTTAAGCAATATTCAGCTCCTATTAACATTGTTCTTCTACTCAATTATGGCAGCTGCGACTGGCTTACAAACTTTGCGCATGTAAAGTCTCGTACATACAAAAGTTAATTCAATTCTAAAGGGTTTTGACGACGGTAGATTACACTTAAAATTATTCATTGCCAGGACTTTTTTCCATCGCCTATCCTTTAAAACCCACGACGTTTCGGAGGCCGCGTCAAGATCGACTTTGTGGCCCAGCCGGGGTCCTTTCTCGGGGGTAAAGCACATGTGTAATGTAAGTGGAACTGTGACTTCAGAATATTTACAATGGCTTCCATAAATCGTACGATGTGGCTTTCTTCCACTCGCTCACCAGCGCTAAAACACAATTGAGACTGGCCGTCTTCTGTTTGCACATGATTAGCATACAATGCCCCAGTATTAACGCTTTGCTGTCGACATTATTTAAAACGATTAATAAATATTAACGCCACACTCGTTCCCTCCTAATTTAAAATTCAGAAATGGCGACGGGATTAAATACGTAAACCGCGCATGTGGAGACACGGCTTAGCAGGGATAAGAAAAAGTGTCTTGTCAACGTAAAGGTTTCTCTTACTGCAGAGGCTTTCTTTCGCGACATGTGCCCATGTCTGCCACCGACGTTCAAGATCAGTGGGGAGCGGTGTCGAGGAATCCACCCCGTCACTCGCCCATTACCCGGTCGACCTCCAGCTACCCCGGCTTCTAGACTCGGCTTGTTCGCCAGTGGCTTTGCCCACCGGACGTTGGGCGGACTTACCCCTTGCCTGTGCAGACTGAACCGAGCTCTGGTCTCCAGAAAGCGATCCCGGCGCAGGACGCTTAGTGGCAACTTCCAGCGAAGTACCGGAGTCCACAAGTGTAAGTCGCCTGCGTTGGATCGGGGGCTTTCCGGGGAACCACGGTCTTCCTCCCGACAGAATCACTTTGGCTGCGACGGGACTGGCTGGTAGGTCGTTTGCTCGACGCCTTAGCCGAGGATGTCCCGCTTGGACGTGCCTTGAGAAAGGCCAGTTCTTTGTCCCCGGTCATTAGCGCAGTAGCAGACACCAGTTCTCAGCTCCGATCGATCGATAATTTGGCCTCCCGGCACCTCGGTCGAGCACAGAGCCGATCTGACT